TTGATTTCTTCGAACCTGACACTGAATCTCGGCGACTACAACTGGCCACATCGTTTATTTTCAGACTCAACATTCGAAGCAAGCATTTCAAGGTAACTTTGTGTTTCTAGTTCCTAATATATTTCGATAAACCTGATGGGTATCATATTCGATAAAATTCATTCGTTTGCTAAACGCTTTTCGTTTTTTTCGTTCGTTTGCCGTGCAATAAACACTAACAACAAATTAGAAGTATCCAGGTTTGTTGATATTCACTACTATGATTTTGTACAAAATAACTRGAAATAGACAATATTGAGTTTTGTCTTCTGCACACTAGACTACTATGGAATTAGAAAACATTTGAAAATTTTTTTTTGGAAACGAAACGTTGTCTTGAATACGACCCTGATATAAAAAAAACAATCGACATTTTTGAAAGCTATTTTAGGAGAGAAACTTTTCAAAATGCTTTGTTAATTGATAGTTAAAACCTTTTTTCAGTATGTTCTTCGTTTGTACTGAATCGATTAAAATCTTCAGTCCAGACACAGTCAATTTCGTTGATAGCCAAACTATCATGGCGTATTTGCAGGAACCGAGACACCGTTCTATGAAAGTGAAAGCGAAAGTTTTTGTGAGTCAACTACTCAGCATAACTAGGAATGCACGGGTGGTGTAGCGGTGATAGCGCGCCCCGGGTTCGGTGTAGTGTGTAAAATATTCAAGTATCCAATTTCAACAATTGCGAGCCTGGGCAATGTTGACATAAACTTATAAATACACTATAACACAGGATATAAAATCTAATAAAAATTTACAAATTAGTTCAACTTGTATGGCCTCGTTCAAAGCCGAAGAGCCGCCCCACCGCGCACGCGTCCCGACCCCAAATTCCTGAACCTCCCCTGTACAATTAGGAAAAGAGGTTTAAATTTAGATTAAAGGTTTAAGTTATTATTATTATCACTATTATAATTATTATTATTATCATACAATATTAAGAGACTCGTACCCAGTCCCTCACGACTTGAAATCCGGAAATAGTTTCCAATTCAAAAATTACAGATAGATTATTCACCTTAAACATAACTACACACACTCAATGTGCTATTATATTTGAACAGGACGAAATGGATCTGTGGGAACCACTACGAGACATGTTGGATCGAAAATTTTTAACGTGGGTAGTAATCTTAATTCTTGGCCGATTGTTCTTCTTGATCCTGTACACCGTGTGGTTATGTGACTGCTTCTTCAGAGAGTTTAAAATGGAAATCCCATGCAAAGATTTCACTCTTTACCCTGAACCAAAAATAATGTCTGCAGTTTGGCTTGTAATCGTCAGCATTACATCCGTGTGTCTAATCAACTTCGCCAGGCAATGGCACGAAACTTCACCCTTGAGGTCAATCTTCGACAATCATCTTTATCGTAAAAAGTACTTCTACGAGCTGTGTTTCATTAACATACTGGTCATTATCTACGACTTGATAACTATTTTTGCCAGAGAATTTCAAGTGAGAACAACAGTTTTATACTGTGCGTATATACTCGAACATATCACGTCTACTGCACTCATGCTCACATTAAACTTCATTCCAGAGTTCGTCCAGAATGTACCACAATATAACCCGAAATATTGTGTTTATAAAATAACCTTGCTACTCTACTCGATCGAGAATTATGTCCTACACGCCTTAGGAACTGTTGTAGCTGCGTACAGACTGGTTTCAGTTCCTACTTGTAGTAACACACCTGAAAATCAAAACAACACCGACTGTTACGATGTCCTAGCTGTTATCATGTTGTTTCTTCTTGTGAGTGTCCTCGCTATCCGTCTCAAAGTTGGAGAATTCTTTCTGGCCAAGTTCTTCGAAGAAGATGTTAATGTTCTCGACCCCCCCAGTCGCAAGCTCCGATCTGACTAACTCCGTCAGTGACTCAACGAAAAGAAGAAGAAAAAGAGAAATGAACTGGAACAGAGAAGACAATCTTGGGAAAGGATAATATGTACTTATTGACTGAGTGGGAGGGCCGTACGGGAAAATATTTGGCTCGAGGTCATGCCGTACGGAGCGAGCGCAGCGAGGTCCGTACAAATGACCGAGAGCCAAATATTTTCCCGTACGGCCCGACCTAACTCAGTCAATAAGCATTTTATCATATGACCCTCACGAAAATAAAAATAATTAAGAAAAAGAAAGCGCGTGGATTCGAGCAGGGCCGGACGGGTTTTTCCGGCCCGCCTACGTCAACCCATCCGGCCCCCATCACGTGACTTTTTCCAATGGTTTTATTAGAGCGCGCGAGCAGGGCCGTACGGGTCATATGATAATGCTGAATAATGCTAATCCTATTGTTTTCTATTGTTTATTTGGCACTATTTACTGCTAAATAGTGCAAAGTGTTGCACACTTTTAGTGTTTGTACTCTAATAAAATATTTATATGCGCTAAATAGTTAGTAGTAGTTTCACGGATTTATGTTGTGCACTCAAAACGAAAAGCCTTTACCTGGTGAAAATCAACAGTAAGCACCTTGACATTTGTATTGATTCATTGAATTTGTTGTCAAAAAGATGAAAAAAAGGTTTTGGATTCTCTCCAAACTTCGTTATTATGTAAATACTATTATTTCTTATCACTTTATATTATTCCTTGATCTATCCATTCTTAATTTATGGAGTGGTCTGATTGCATGAGGTAACACTTACTAATCTACTCTTCAACCTTCATGAGCATTCAAGTTCTTTATTCGTATATATGAATATTATAGGGCTATTTGATCTTTTTATTTATGCCACTGCTTTTTCCATGTATAAATTTAATGACGATAAGCTGCTACTATCTTTATTTAATTGTTGTTTTTTTTTCTAATGTTAATAGCATTCACAAATACAACACTAGAGCTGCTTCTAAGCTGTCTCTCACTATTTCCCTTAAGGCCCAAAAGTGTGGAATTCCCT